GACCATCACCATCTGATCGTCCACCAAGACCATCACCAACTGATCGTCCACCAAGACCATCACCAACTGATCGTCCACCAAGACCATCACCAACTGATCGTCCACCAAGACCATCACCAACTGATCGTCCACCAAGACCATCACCAACTGACCGTCCACCAAGACCATCACCAACTGATCGTCCACCAAGGCCATCATCAACTGATCGTCCACCAAGGCCATCACCAACTGATCGTCCACCAAGACCATCGCCAACTGATCATCCATTTTCTACTATCTATCCATCATCAACACCATTAGTCTCACCTCCACCAGTGTCTTGCGAATCAGGGTCTATTCGTTTAAGGAATGGTCGATCTCCTTATAGTGGTCTTGTTGAAATATGTCGTTTTAATACTTGGGGCACAATATGCAGTAACAGTTGGGACAGGAGAGAAGCTCTTGTTGCTTGCAGACAGTTAGGATACCCAGGAACAGGTTTGTCACTCAAGAGTAGTTTCATTCTTTTTTGAAATTTATTTAGGCTCAAAGGCTCTTAGATTCTACAACAGGACAAGAGGGCCTATACATTACACTAATATGCAGTGTCATGGTTCAGAGACTAGCCTCCTGGATTGTCCCCTACAGCAAACTAATCAGAATTATTTCTGTAGCAGTAGAGGAAATTCTGGAGTAGAATGCAGTGGTAAATACTATTAAGTGAATCTGACAGCATGTGCTTGTTTTACTTAGCTCCGTGTACTTATGGTAGTGTCACTCTTCTCGACTACACTGGTACACCTACTAATCGTAGCACTGGCACTGTTGGTTTATGCATTGGAGGAATGTGGACTGTTGTCTGTGACTACTCATGGAGTTTTAGAGCTGCAAGTGTGGCATGTAGAAGCTTACATGGTCACTCTGGACATGGTAAACACTGATTTGAAAAAATAGCAAGTAATGATTGCATTGTTTTAATAGGTGCAATTCCTCTCCTCAGTCAAGGAGTAGTCAGTTATGCTGGAGTTTTTTCAATTGGTGGATTCTCTTGTCAAGGGAATGAAAGAAGTTTACTTACCTGCGGATACTTGAATGTGTCTTGCACTGACAGACAGTATGCTGGGGTAATCTGTAAAAGTAAGAAAACATGAGATTAAAATCCTATTTGATCAAGATCAGCTAATATAGCAGAAAATTGCTACTACAGTATTTTTCTCATTTATATAGGGACCTCAAGACCTGTTTGTAATCATGGCTCCCTTAGGCTTGTTAATGGTAGCAGTAACTACACTGGTAGGCTTGAGGTATGCATCAATGGTCAATGGGGAACAGTCTGTAGTGATCAATGGAATAGTGTGAATGCTAGAATTGCCTGCAGGCAAATGGGATTTCCTGGAGGACGTAAGTTTTTGTGAAGTGCATATTTATTGAATAAATACTTATTTTAAAAGGTGCACAGAGTACTACCAGATATGGCCCTGGAGTTGGTTCTATATTTCTCAGCAATGTTGTGTGTTATGGTCACGAGAGATCACTACTGAACTGTTACTCACAGACGCGTCATACTTGTACACACAGTCAAGACATTGGGATCAACTGTGAAGGTATCAAGTTCTTAATATCAATACTTTGTTCATGTATTAAAATAGCTCCTTGTCAAAGTGGTGAAGTGGTATTAGTGAAATCTGATGGTTCCCCTTCAAATGATGGAGTTGGTATGATAAGAGTTTGTCAAGCTGGAGAAAGAGGGACTATATGTGATGATGGTCACTGGGATTATCCTGATGCTGCTGTTGTCTGCAAGCAAGTTGGCTATTCACCATTTGGTAATTAGTCTTTAAATATAGAGCCACAATCTTTTAGTTATATACTCTCTTTTAAGGTGCTCTTCCACGCTATGGCTTGAAGCTAGGAGCCTCATACAATGTGACTCCAGTATTATCAAGAGTTGAGTGTCTTGGAAATGAGTCTAGTATTAGACAATGTCGCAAGAGCTCAGCGATACACTCAAATTGCAATGAGTATGTGGGAGTTGAATGCTATGGTAAGTGTCTTGTAGAAGCTGTATACTATACTTTGATATTCCTTTGTACTTTAGGATCACAGACACCTCCCAGTAACTGCACTCATGGTGATGTAAGACTAATGGGTGGTAGTCAAATGGAAGGAAGACTCGAGTTGTGCATCAATAACATGTGGGGAACAGTCTGTGATGATTTCTTTGATGTGAGAGATGCTCGTGTCACGTGTAGGAAACTAGGAAATCAGTTAGGAATGACATTAACAGGTTAAGCACTATTGAATTGATATGTACTGTGTGTCCAAAATTTATTTTGATTTGCCAGGAGCTCCATCTTCAGTGCCTTATGGTGCTGGGAGTGGTCCAATATTTCTTGATAACATGGGGTGCAATGGAAATGAGAATGATCTATTGAACTGCTATTCAAACCAACCTGGTCTGCACAATTGTCAGCATTTTGAAGATGTTGGCATTACTTGGTAAGAGAATATGATTAATTTTTTACTTATTCCCATTTTTCATGTAGCACTCCTATGTCATAATGCAAAACATTAAATAAATACTTTTCTGCTGAAAATTTGTAATTTTTGTACATAGATGTTTTGATGATAAAATTTTGTGGCTAATGATTAATAAATAACAATTTAGTATAAATTAAATGAATAAAATCAAGATGATCAAAAGATTGGCCTATGAATTGTTATCCTCTTCAATTTTATTTGATCTTGGCTCCTCCTTGTGTTCTTGCTTTAATTTCATTACTTCCTCCTTTTGTTCACCACTTTTATCAGTCTCCTGATGATTACTCTGCCCTCCAGCATTGGTAGATCCTTGTCTTCTAGCACTATAAAAATCTTGTCTATAATTCCTTCTGTTTTGTCTGCCTTCATAACCACCCTTCCATCGCTGATCCCCTCTATGTCTATTTGATTCAACACTAACAACTGTTTGAGTTTCTGCTTTATTAGTAGAAATGGATCCTTCCTTTTGTGGTTCTCTATGCTCACCATGTTTATCACAACTCTTGCTATCTCTATCGGGAGCTTGTCGTTTAATGATAGTCTTTCTTTCATCCGGTTTCTCTCCTTCACTTTTCATTGAAGGTCCATCTTTTCTTTGATGATCCCATCTCCTGTCCTTCCTTCTCGATCTAGTCTTTCCTTCTTGCTGGCCCTCCTGGCCATCTTGCGCTTTGCTTTCTTTTTCTAGCAGATCATGCACTACAATGTCTTGACTTAGGTCTTTATTTTCAGTTCTTCCTGTCCCAAAAGTCTCTCCTTCCTTTTTCCACTTCCTGTCCTCTCTTCTCTTCCAATGGTTGTGCCGTCCACCACTCCCTGTTTCACCACTACCAGTTCTTTCCTCCCATTGACCTTCTCCATACTTTTGTTGCCTTCCTCCTTCTCTTCCTCTTCCCTCTCTGTGCTGCTTTCCTCCTTTATTACCATGAACATATCTTTCTCCCTTAAATCGACCTTTCCTTTCATTTGAATGATGATTTAGTGATTTGCTTTTGCTGTCATCATGAGCACCTATAATGCATGCACATACATGTACAATGCACACATACATGTACAATGCAAATATCATATAAAATGAAATTATTCACTAACTTTTTAATAAAGAATCATCAGGATCAACCAGTGATGACTCATTTTGTTGAGATTCAGATGCAGTTGAACTAACCTATTAATTAATGGGCAGAGAAAGTGCATAAAAGTAAAAGTATATACAAGGCTACAAGCATACTTTACTTTCAGTATAATAGCTTGTTAAAATAAGCTACCAAGGACACATGCAACCAAACTAACCCATTCTCCATCAATGACAGCATCTTGAGCCAATAAATCAATGATTCCTCCTTTCCTTTGCTGTTTCTCAAACAATAGTGCCATCTCTTCCTGCCATGCCATCAATTTGGGGTCTTTATGGTAAGAGTAGTCCTGTTACAAAAATAGAGAAATAAAAAGGTATACTATTAGTATACATACATAAAGAGTGTTATTCTCCAATTCAGTTGCATCAATGTCCTTTATAGCCAACAGGCAGTGGTCCTTGCTGTTAATAGCAACTCTGCACACAGGACACTCTAGCTACAGCAGATTCCAGACACTATACACACACTTACAAAGGTAATTGAGTACTTTTTGTGCAAGAGTCTCAGTGAAGGGAAGTCTATATTTGAGTTTGCTGCTCTCTTCCTTTTGCTTTGCTAGAGACTCAAGATGAAGATCAACATAGCGTGAGAGACAGTTAGGATGAAAGTAGTGATAACATTCAGTTCGTACAAACTGATCATCATCCTATTTATACATATAAGTGGTCATACAAGAATAGAAATTTGATGATTTCACCTGAAAGTCATACTGACATATAGGACACCTCCCACATGGACGATTATTATCAGTTAAACAATCCCGGACATACTATGAAATAAGAAACAATGGAAGTAAATTTCTGAAATCTCCATTTTTATGATTTTGCTTAAACTTCATCAAAAATGAAAAGGAGAGAATTCTTTATTTTTATAGTTTTTTTCTGATACATGTACATGTTCTTATGTTGTGTAGCAAGTTTGAGTTGATTCCAATCAAAATTGAGCTTTTCACAAATTTTTAAAGTTATTAAAAAATCAGGCCAAAGTCCCTGTGTTGCAATCAAGCAAAACTCTTACTTCAACTAAGTCGTATATCATTGGAGACCCTAAATTTTTGAATGACAAATGTGAGAGACCTTCAACAATACTATGATAGTATTATCCATAGATAAACATAAGTACATACATACATGTACCTAACCTTTCAATATGAGCATCTGACAATCCACGTGACTTTGTAACTGCAATGTTTGGGGACACACCAGGATACTAGAAAAGAAACAAAAAAGAAAGATGGTCAGTCTGGTAATTTAAATGGTGCATAATGAGTTTGAATCATACGTACAATAAACAATTAAAAGAATTGATCTCATGCTCCAAAATGTTTTTAACTGCAAAATTTTGCGTTGCTCCTCACATTTTTATTGTCAATGATAAAAGTCAGATCACAGTAAACAAATTGAGTGTCTTTGTCGTCACAGGTACTCGGGGTGATGTGAAACAACAAGGAAGAGCTATAAAGATACTTTTTAAAAATAAAAATGTCACAGAATCATACTTTTCATCAGAAACGACTTGAAGATCATCAAAATACACATTTTGGAGTAGCTCAATTTCCTCAGAGAGACACCTAGACACGATATAAGATACAAAATATTATAAAATATCCTTACATTCCGGACTCAGACTCGCTAGAGTGTCTGGATAACTCCCTGAGCAACTGGAGGGGACTACCAATGGGAACACCACCAGTCGCCATTTTAAGTGAGCCACACCCTGTAGGAGGAGTCTAATTTTGAACCCCACCCATGGCATTAAGATATTGACTTCATGCACCATTACATGGTTTATGTTGTTATTGATTATCACAAATTAAATTGGTCATTATACATGATACACAAAAAATTCAGGGTCACAAAAAATTAAACAAAATACCATGGCGAATGATCTTTTAATTATACACAAGTTAGGTCTACAGCCCTTGAGCAAACAAAGGCTCTAGAGTGAGGGAAGTGTCTTTGGTCCAGTTTATTGTGTCAAGGAGAAAGCTAATGAGCTCTGGATCACGTAGAAAAGACACCGGATCATACATAAGTTCCGTTGATGATGAAGACGTTATTATTTGTATCCAGTCACTCAAGACGTGATCTCTATTGATAACACAAATAACACACTAGAGTGAATGACTTTATCTTCAAGCTCACCTTAAACCAATCAAGAAGAACAGCATTGCCTATCATTCATGTGTGCATATAAATACAATTATATATAATCATCTCTCATCATGATAATCCCTCACTTTCTCCTCTTTCCCTATACTAGCAAGGCCATTAATCTTTGATACAATGGATAGGTAACTTGGTAATGGACTCTTTGGTCCTTCCTCTCCTCCGTCCGTTTCCTCTTGTCTTGCAGCTGCTTCAGTCATTGAAACACGCTCTATGTGATCCCAGATGTAGAGAGGCTTGTGGAACTTCCTTGTACATTTGTATCCAAGCTGAAAAGCCTGCAATAAAAGAAAGACATTTCATTGCTTTACTTCGCCATTGGATGCAATACTAACATTTTCTATTGCTTTGACAAAACCTTTATTTCCATAAAGTAATGGAAGTAACTTTGATCTCTTGAAGATGGAAAATAACAAAGAGAGAGTGAGAGAGAGTTAAACAACTTAAAGTAAAGATATCTTTTACTTGTGTTTCTTTGCTATTGTTATCACAAATAACAATCAGTTTACTGACGCTTGATGTTATGGTCCCTTTGATGTCAGACAGCATAAGTTCTAGCAAATAAACATGTACAAACTGAAATAAATTTATTCATAAATCAGTATTATTTTTTCTATCCTATCCAAGAATGCAAAAAGTGTCATGTTGTACTATTATTGCTTACTCTCTCCTGTTAGATCTTTCTTTGGGGATCGATTCAATTTACTGGTTGGTAGAACATCTTCAACACCTACACACACACACACACACAACATTTTTAATATTATGTAATGTATGCAAATGGTATGTGTATATGTATGCAATAGTCTGCATTAATACTAATAATTAATGTAATTATATAAAATACCAACAACAAGTTAAACAATTTGTTAAGTTATGAGCTGAGGCTACACCTGACAACCAGGGCTGTGTTAGAAATCATCCATTAATTATTCTTGTGACAAGTGTATACTTTTTTCACTCAGTGTCTTTTTTCCTCATTACCTACTGTCACTATTACCTAGTGCGCTAGTACTGATGGAGCCTTTAAGAGTCCTTGATAGTTTCTCTCCGGTAATGAATCGGTCGATGGAGCCATCGTCCTCAGCTCGAGCAAAATATCTACCACAATTGAATCTAGAGAAAAGAAAAAAAAGAGATGCTTTAAAAAGAGATAATTTAAAAGATATTACACAAAAATAAAGTAGGACCAGGAGAAGAATCAGATGATTAGAAAATTGGGAAAGAGAGTGTGTATTCTATAGAAGGTTGGTTACCTGTATGTTTGTCCAGTGGTGATACAATGTACCAGTACCATCTCTACGAACAAGCTCCTCACCAAACCCGAATTATCATGACTTAACCTTACGCATGTCAGTGGTCCCAAATTGCGACACTAAAGAGTACCAAAAATATACTCGCTCTACAGTGCAATAAACAAAGAGGCTATGACTCACTGAGAATTCAACCTGATAGTTTCCCCTAGGAATAGCAACAGTATCAGAGTCGCCTCCTTCGCCTCCGACTTTAACATAAAGACAAGCACTGCTCAATCCAAGATACTTGCCTTCACTGACTACCAACACTCTATAAGACATTGCTGCAATAGAGACAGAGAAAGAGAGAGAGTGAGTGCGAGGAGTAATAAATTTGTTGTACTTGTGTTGGTGAAGGCAGACGAGAAGCAGTTGAAGTCACCGGCTGAGAGAGAAAGAAGGTGAAGGAGAAACTGCTCCTTTTCATCATCCGTCAACAAGAAAGCATAGCTACGATATCTTTGTCTATAAGAACATAATACATGTTGTAAAAAGGAAGATTTGAGACTATCAATGTTTCAATATCAAGAAACTCAGACCTGGTAAGGTTTGTGTTTGAAAGAAGGTGAGATAAATGACGTGACAAAGTCTTCTTCTCAAGACAAAGCCTGCATATATCATAAAAGGATTAAACAACAGCTTTAAAATAAAGACGACACAATGAACTCAGATATAAATATTTGTATAAGCAAAATGATTAAACACAAATAAATTATTAAATGAATAAACACGCGCTTACCTGACCCAAGCTCTGGCACGCCCTACATCAGTCTTAATCTCTCTCATATTATTAATAATCCTAATAATAATAATAATAATATAATAAATAATAATAATAATAATATAATAAATAATATATAAATTACTTTAAGTCGTCCAGGAAGGTTGAGGGAGGTGGCTGTAGGATTGCTCCTACTAGTGACTTCAGTTCTGATGATTGGAATCTCCTTCGGAATAAGGACGGGGTTGAAGGTCGTCTTGAGGAAGGAGAGGGTGAAAAGGATTCATCAAGTGACACTAAAAATTAAAAATAAAATTAGAATATTAAAAGGATAAAAATGTACTATTTTCTTGCAAAATTTGGCCAATGACCCTGTACTATAGTACAGGGACTTTGGCCTGATTTTGGAGCAACTTTAAAAATTTGTAAAAAATCCAACTTTGATCGGAATCAGCTCAAACTTTCTACGCAACATAAGAACATGTATATGTATCAGAAAATATTATAAAAATGGAGAATTTTCTCCGAGTCATTTTTGACAAAATTTAGCCAAAATCCCTGTACTATAGTACAGGGACTTTTGCCCAATTTTTGAGTAACTTTAAAAATTCGTAAAAAATCCAATTTTGATCGGAATCAACTCAAACTTTCTACACAACATAAGAACATGTATATGTATCTAAAAATATTATAAAAGTGGAGAATTCTCTCAGAGGCATTTTGGATGAAAAACCCCTGTACTATAGTACAGGATGCCTATAGTACATTTATAGCTACAGTACAATAACATACTCTGGTTAAACATCCTTGGACTATAATGTGATTCATCATAGTGCTGGTGTCTGTTCAGAGATAGAGGGAGTGATGAGTCGGGAGTTACAGAGCGAGAGAGAGCACTACGAGGAGGAGAGAGTTTCGGTTCCTCCTCGTGACACAAAGTCTCACCAAACGCTCTTAAGTGTGCCCAGAGTGAAGACTTACTCTAACAATAACAAGCAAATATATAAGATATGAACAAAGCTGTACCTGCCATATACAATGTTACTATGCTGTTGCATACATGTACATGTATGTACATTACTAGATCTAATACATGTAGTACATGTATATGTACATGTACTACATGTATACTGTACATTGCAAATATTGTACATGTACCTCTCTCTTCTTTAATCCGTGTCCCCATATCCTCTCCAGGAGGTCACAGAGATTAGCAATGTGTGTATTCTCTTCGATATTGTTAGTCTGAGCCTCAGAGCTGCTCCCAAGCATGTGTTTGACCTTTTATACATGAAAGAGAGGAATTCAAAGTATAGAGTTACTGTAAAATAGACGTGTAAAACCTACTCTGAGCCTTGATTCTCTCCACAGCTGCATTACAAATTTCAAATGATATTGAGTTGTACTGATCCCATTCCCTCCAGTTGAAGGAGGCTACATAATACATACATATATATATATATACAAGTAACAGAAAGAGAGTGTACATGTATGCGAAATTTAAATTATGAATAGTAGAGAGAGAAGGATGGAACACCTTATTAGCATCAGGTCTTGTTGATTGCTGTCCGGACTCATTCTCAATCCTACTGGTATGGGAATCAGTCTTGTCACTCTCATTCTAATTAATGCACACAAAAATTAATCCAATACACACACATTCACATAAATCCCGTCTCACCTGTATCAATAAGGCGGAGTCAAGACGTGGGAACTTTCCCTCCTTGTTAGTTAGGTCAGACGAGGCGGATCCATCTACTTGCTTATTAAGTAGGTGTGGCTTGGGAGCCACTTCTAACCCGCCACTGCTAATGTCAGCGTCTCTTGCATCAGCTAAAAAAATAATAAAAATTAATTTTGAATTATTTATATTTCTAATATTTCCATGTAAAGTATTGTTATGTATTATACATACACGCCTCAGTGATAATTAATTATCATGTACAACTGTACGATAGTAATATGTGTACCTTTAATTGGCAGCTATACAAATAATATTTACAACAAATGCAATTTTAATGTAAAAACAACGAACTACGCTTGCACAATTAATAATAATAATAATAATAATGATAATAATGATGACAATAATAATGATGACAATAATAATGATAATAATAATAATAATAATAGGGCTCACAGGGTGTGGTACCAGAAGAAGGTGTGGTCATCATTCCGCTATTCTGTCTGTGTTTCTCTATCATTTTATCAAAAAGGACAACGTGTCGATCGCTGGCGGGTGGGTCCCAAGTTGCTATTAGTTTCTGATCAATAAACAGCGTGAACATGGCCGTCTCGAGAAAGGCACTGTAGAAAGTCCTCGAGAATTGTGGTTGGTCGGAAAGAAACGCCGTCTTATCAAAGTTCTCGAACTGCTCGCGGTTTCTCAGCCATTGCTGGTAACTCTGGTCAGGCATTATAATGAACTGCTCGTAATTCATGAAATGCTCCACAAAATAATTACAAAATATGTTACGGACGGAGTCTGAGAACTCAGAGTCTTTTGAAGTGTCGGTGGATTCGTCGGTTAGTGGGAGGTCTGTATCGAGTAGTCCAGTCGTGGGAGAGACTCTCGTCTGGTCTTCTCCCCCTATCTCTCCTTCGGTAGTTTTTGTACGTGATATGATTCGCTGGAGCTCAGTCACTAGGGGATTGGAGGATTTCTCTTTTCCAATTCCTCTACCTTTGGTCTGTAGATCTGTTACTAATCTGATAAAAAATAAATAAATAAAATAATACAATAATAAATAATAAATAATATTTAATAAAGAAAGAGGTATACATGTACATGTAAAGAAAGAAATAGAAGAAGGTGTCTTGTTATTATACCTCAGTGCATCGATAATGCTGTGTTTCCTGTCACCTTTATCAGGAGGAGATGGACAAGATCCCGAGACTGATTCGGGACAGTTCACCTCGTACTGTAACAATACATCAGCTAACCTAAAACACAATCATACATGTATACACAATTACAAAGCATATGCAGATGAGTCTAATTTACATTTAGATATAGGCACACATGTAGAAGGGATATACTGAATGCTTTACAATCTTTAAAATTAGACACACTATATTGGCATCCATTCCATTCTGATGCAGTAACCACACACACACGCCCTAACATTACATGAGAAATGAACGATCCCATATCAGCATCATTTAAACTGATCATGATTACAGCTGGTATTACAATGTGTACATGTAAGTTAAACACGCTAAAATACATTTATAATACCTACAAAAGACTACAATAATAATAATAATAATAATAATAATAATAATAATAATAATAATAATATTACTATTATTATTATACCTTGTATATAGTTTATCAGAGTCTGGGAGAGGAGGTAAGTCTTCTGGTATATCCAGTCTGTCGTGGTCCAAGTCAAATGATGATAAGGAAGCCTATAGAATAGGAAGAGGTCTATTGGTTGATGTGAGTATGTGATTAATAGTCATAATAACACACAAAAGAGATGAATTGATCAACCATGACATAATGCAGTAATCATGATGATATATCCCATTCCCAATAAATAAATCACATAACAAAAAAACACATTCACAACAAATAAAGCTTAAAAGAAATCAAAAATCAAATCACCAATTGAACTTCAAAGCAATCCAACCAGTATTGTGAAACAATCAAGGCTCTACAGGAAATCAGGAGTCAAGACATTGACTCCATTCAAAAATTTTTAATTATTATGAATTTATTTGGACTCAAAACTTGAAATGAGAGGGACCAGTTTATATACAGGCTTAACCTCACAATAGGATCGTGGGTCCTCAGTCCTGGCTGTGTGGATCCAGTTGTGCAAACTATGAATATGATTACCATACAATTTATTATCAGACTATGAAAAGGAGGAACAAAAAGCAACACAGATTTGAGTAGATAAGACCCACTCATGAATCACACACACCTACACTAAACACACTCACAGCAAAAAGACCAATACAAGACTAAAACCAACAGTCTTTATAAACCCATTTAACCTTACAATGCTATTATTATGGGGCTACACATAGCACAGATGTCATACTCATTCATGTGTGGGCCAGCCTGAGCAAAGTACAACTGTACCAGTGTCACAGTGGCATTTACCAGAAAAAGATTCCTCTATGAATATAACTGTAGTTAATGATTGAGGTAAACAGAATGGCACAATACACAAGCCATGTTTGACATTAAGAGGCTTCATTACCATGACATCAAACACAATAATAATAATGATAAGAGTACAATGATTCTCATCATACTCACTTTATTAAGTATATCCAATTCACTCGTACTACTATCAGTGTTCATTCTCAGTCCCATCAGGAATGGGACCGGCGCATCCAGAAACCCATGCTGGGACGAGGGGAGTATGGGAACGAAAACATGAGGCCACACGTACGGAAAGAGGAGAGCAGTAATGCACTCAGCACACATCATTAACTGATGAAAATCTAAAAGAGAGAGAGAGGGGGGGAGAGTAGTAAAGATACTGACACAGAGATAACACATTATCCCATAAAAGCTACTTAGTAACATCTGTCAAGCAAGTGTTCGTATATCTGTTTGTCTTTCCCTATTTCTATATTGAAAGTTATTTGGAAATAAATGGCCCACAAACACAGTTACTAGTCAAGGGATTACAATAATCTCTTATGATGCTTTAAATGGCACTACAGTAGCAGTGAAACTGTGTGATATTGTATTTACATTGTAGTACTTATAATAGTCATAATACTAATGTAGAACATCATGAATGTAAAATATATGTACATGTACATACAGTAAGTATAATGTCTTCTTACCATTAGCTTTCAGTAGTATCTGCTGCTCCAATAGGACACAGGTTAGCAGCTGCAAAACGTTCTTTAAACTGATCGACTCGAAAAACGCCCGAAATGAATAATCACACAGCGGGAGCTCCTCGTTTCCAGGAAGACGCCATGTTATGAGGTCCAGAGGTCCATGTAGCTTTAGCGTTACACCGGGACCAGGTAATGAGGTTTCGTATAATAGATTATACAGATAACTCTCTATTGGGAGGGAGCCCCTGTCATTACCGACACTGATTGCGTATAATTGCTCGAGGTAGGAGCGAGTGGGTTGAAAGATTGGCAGTGAGGTTATAAAACAAAGGGATTTGGTAGCGTAGAGTGAATCAGAAGAGCGATTGAAGTACCAGTACTGGCTTAGGTCTGATCCGCCTCTGGAGTGAGACTGGTACTCATTTTGATGGCTCTCCAAAGCGTCAAGGATCAGAGGATTAGTGACGGGTTCGTGGTAGGTGAGGACACTACCGTATTGCCTGGAACCGTTCTCACGCGTAATGAGAAGAGAGTGAAACGAAAAATGATGAGAGGGCTCCTTTGATAGTTGTACACCTTCAGGCATGCATTGCTAGAGAGAGGGAGAGGTGACAAAAAAGAAGAAAAGAGAATAAAGGCAGTAGGGTATCTAAGAAAAGTTGTAAATTCACACATGAAATGTTACATATCACACGTAGGACAACCATTAATCATCACTCACTGTTCTAATGGCTCCTTCATCAAAGCAATTCCAGTGCCTGCTTGACGGATAATGGCACAAGATTCGACTACTATACTGACGCTGTAATGGAGGGACACCTGCTACACGACCTAGAGAAAGCAGCAAGAGATGCAGTAAGTAAAATATATTACAAGCAAAACAGCATTAGGTACATTTTCCAACAACTAGTTCACTTCCTCTTTTCCCTTCACACCCTCAAAAAATACATGCAAAACCACAAACTGTTTTCTATTGGTATTACCTGAGCTGGGCTCGACTTGGAGTCCATCTTCACTGAGGCCACATACAACAAAATAGTCCACAAGCCCGCGAGACATGTAGTAGGTATGTATATATAACGATGATGGCTCTATGGTCTTCACACCAGGCGCCTAAAACCACTGTCACTGACGAAACGTACGGTCGTCACAGTGCTTAACAGTGACAAATTATCTTTACTAGAGGAATTACTACTACTACTACTACTACTACTACTACTATAGTATTTACTACAACTCCAGTTAACAAAATAGCCGGCTCAGACGAGCTCAGATGAGAGTAAAACAGCCACAGGAAGGAAATGGTGTAAAAGCATGGAATTGTGTGATAAATAGGTGTGGTTTCTCCGCCCATTTAGGGTGTGACTCATTGCATAGTTATTATTAAAATTAGTTATAAAAATTTGGTTATTAAAAATTTATTATTGAAACTGGCTGTACATAGCAAAGTTGCTCAAAAAGAAGCTAACAAGCTCGTGAACAGTTTCATAGCATTTCTATAATTCAAAAAATAAATGTGATGATTATTATTATTATTTCTAACCTGAGAAGGTATGCCTCCAGGCCTTTGCATTCTCAGCGTCTTAACAATTTGAAATAAGTCAGAGCCTTGCTCCAATTTTGCTTGTTCAATAGCATTGTGAGTTACACAGTACATTGCAGAACGAGTGATAGAATCACTGCAATGATATAAAAGGAATGATTTTACATATAATGCCATTTACCTGCAGTGAACAACAATGGGTCTGTTTGATCCACTCCTCCTCTGGTTATCAGTCACTAGTGCATAGAGGTCTCCAATAGTGCTGTAATTAGCACACTGACCATCAGGTAACCAGTTTGTTAGTTGCAATTGAACAACAGTAGAGCAGTAACCACTCTATGAACATTTGCTATAATGCACAATCACTATTAACAGAAATTACTTACATTCATATCTTTGATTCCAAAAGTTCTTCTGATAATTGAGCCAGACTCTTGTACCTCATTGATTAATTTAACACTGATATAGTTGAATACAGCAGCAGTTGGACCATTAGGCCAATACTGATGACAAACCATCTATAAAAATGAACACTGATATTTATTATTTATTTCGTTTTATGCACATGCCTTTGAGTCTTCAGACAAATTACAGAGCATCAAAATGGTAGAAGTCTTATGCTGGATTATCATCTTCCAGAAGTCAAGAGTTGTTTGCTCTAAAGGACTTTGAGCAATAATGAACTCTTTCTTCTTTTGATAGCCCTATATATAATACAGCATGAAGTACAATCAGTGTTGTTCAGCATAAGCAAAACTAACATCTACATATGAGGCATTAATGTAATCATTGTCACTCTGTTGCAATACCACTCTTCTTGTGTCAACTGTAGAGTAAAATTAAAAGAATGCTTCACAGTAATCTTAAACAATGTTACTTGGGAGAGGGACTTCAGGTCGATTTTTTTCTATAAAATCTCTACCAATCTCACATTTGTAAGCAGTAGTTTTTGGAGTGAGTCTCTTTATCAGCTATGCATAATAATTAATAATATTTTTAATACATTTTAAATTTGAACTGACTTGATATTGAGTTTCATAAATTGTCTTTTTTGTTTTGGTGTCGGTGTAATCAAAATTTCCAATTATTTCAGAGAATTGAGCAACAGGAATTAGTGTATTTCCACATAAAACTTGCTCCAAAAGTGTATCATGCAGAAAAATGAATTGATTCTATAACAATTGGCATAAAGTATATATATATATATATATAATACACCATTGCTTACAATAGTTTGAACCATATGCATGCGTTGATCCCTCATTTGGTTGATGATTTGAATGAAGTCAATTTGATTCTCTGATTTCATCTGCTCAAGTCCAATATCAAGAGCAATGAATGTACCAGTCCTACCCACACCAGCACTAGATTATATGCAAGTATCATGAAAGCTATATAAGTTGCTACAGTGCGGCTTACCTGCAGTGAGTTACTATGGGCCCTCCAAGTTTTGCATGATAATGCATTACTTTCTGCATAAATATAACAAGTGGGCTCCCATGATCAGGGACTCCATGATCAGGCCATGCAGTGAATTGAAAATGCTTCACATAATGCTTTGCCTGAGTTCCATCAGTTAACTAATAATAATAAGTTAAGAACACATTCATAGTTTATCAATTCATGCATGTCAGAAATTCTCAACATACTAATATTTCAAAACTTCTGATGACAAAGTTAGCATATGCTTCTTCTTCTGAAGCAACTTTTATAACAAAAGGACCAAATTGAAGCTCATTATCTGGTGAAGGAGGCCAATATTCTTCAGATTTGACACGGTTCCCTTCAATTACATTAGTGAGCATGACAATCACATGGGATCTCTCCTGCCACATCATTCTCCATAAATCTCCAGTTGTGCTTGAAAGGGGACCTTGAGTAGCTATAAACTTGTTTTTGAAATTATATCCCTATGCATAATATAAGTTAAATAAAATTGATGTCCTAATGGACTCACGTTGATGTAGGAAGCATTAATGTATTGGCCTTGGAACTCATCCCATCCTTCTATTGGCTGTAGTGCAATCATATTATCATCATCTACATAATAAATGCATGCACATCATAATTTCAGTTGTATATATTCTTACAAGGAATAATGTTTTTATAGCGATTCTTTGATCTGTTTGCATTAGCTACGGACAATGAATGATCAGTATCTCTTATTAGAGACTAAAATATGAAACATCATGCACCTTCACTATGTAATAGAATGCACATACTGAAAATAGAACATTGAAAGGCTTGTTATCAGATAAATGCTGCATCTCGACATATTTCTCCAATGTATCAGCAGGGATTGGCTTGTGATCAATGATGAGAGATTTGGCTTCTTGAATTAGTTGCTCTTCATCATCAATCCCAGGGAGTACAGTAAGTATGACCACACGATTAAGAACTCCGCCAATATTTCTAGCACTAAAATTATACTGGCCAGCATTCTCCTGCTCAATGTCTCTTATCACCAAAGTTCCATCGGAGAATATTTGAACTTTATCATCAGAAGAGGATTGGAGAGGTTCCCCTTGGTGTGTCCACGTGTAAGTAGGTTCAGGTTGTCCTGATACTTGAACAAGCAAGTGAACTGTTTCTCCTTCTACTGCTTTTGTGTTTGCTGGGAATTCAATGACATATGGAGCTTGACCTGTGGAATTGACTGACTGATATTATAATAAAAAATTTTAAGTACTTTTTTCAGATTTGGAAGGGGAATAAATTGGTGATGTCACATGTAATAAGTTCATTGAAATTTCTTCATGACCAGTGGAACAAGTGGACTTTCTTCTAAATTTAAAAAGAACAAAAGCATTTCAATAAATCAACAAATCAACATACTTTCTTGGCATACAAGTAAGAACAGTGACCATGCATATACAAGGAGTGATTATTATTATAAATAAAGCACTGCAAGATGCTACTATTAATACTATTGCCATTGTTGATAGTGTTGATGATTCAGTTGAATCTGTTGGTTCTTCAGTAAATCCAGTAGGTTCATCAGTAGTAGCAACCATTGGTATATCAGTAGTAGAAACCATTGGTATATCAGTATTAGGAACCATTGGTATAGCTGCAGGTTAAAAGTGATAATAATCATTTAATGGTCAGCTTACTAGTTGTATGCACTGTTCCTGGCCCACTACCAAAAGAATTCAGAGCTCTTATTGTAACACTGTAAATGACTTGAGGCTTCAGACCAGTGAAAGTATACCAAGTAGTATCAGGACTGACAGTAACATTATACAGAACAGTAACATTATACAGAGCAGTATCATCATCATCATCATCATCATCACTATTTAGTATTATATGATAGGAAGGAGTCTCTCCACTTGCATTGCAACAACTGACAGTCTCCCATGTAATAGTAAATGATGAAGAATTAACTGACTCACCATCAATGGTCATTACCACTGGAATACTTGGAGCTGTAATTATTATAAAAATGAAATTAGGAGTACTTTTATAAATTCATACCTGTACGGTTTTGAATAATAGAAAATTCGGTTTCTGTACTATTTCCAAGCACATTGACAGATGTGAAAGATAGTGTATAGTTCAATCCATCAATGAGACTACTGATAAGAGAAGAATTGCTGATATTATTAACAATAACTCCACTAGAACACTCCTTCAATTGACAAGAAGCAGAATATCTGATTACAGTGCTGTTTTGTAGCAATGTCATTCCCCATTCTACATGAGCAACTCCTTGGTCAATCAATGATACTGCAATACTTGTATGGTTTATAGGTTCTGGCACTAATAATCAATGCATAATATAATAATAATAATAATGACATTTTATGTACCTTTAATTGTAATTGAGTATGGTTGAGTAGGAAGATAAACGATGTCACTACTTTCTTCATTTACAATTGAAATGACAAAGGAGTATGTAGTATCAGGGC